TAGAGATCTATTTAATAATTTTTCTTTATTTTGGTCACATACCAACCTTAGCTACACCATACAAATGCATTTTGTGGGATTTCACTTTAATGATTTAAGAAAAGGTATGCCCCATAAATAAAACAGAATATACATAACAGTTCATGTTACTTTTTTATTTTTTGTTTCCCAGGAAGTTTTATTTAGTCTACCATTGTTTTATTACTTATAGTGGAGTGTATGGTGACCATATTGGTATGGTCTAACAGAAGCCCACAATATTATGGGGTGAGGGTTTGCGGTGGACATTAAGTGCTCCGATATGTGTTGTATAATGCACTATCCCCTCACCTCCCATAAGTAATTCAATAGTGTTTACTGGAGTAGGGGAATTAAAGGTATGCTTCACATGTTTCACAATAAGCCTTTGTATTTGACCATGTCCTTCATGCCAGAATGACATCCTCATCAGTGCATGCACACAGCTCAGCTTCTAAGACTGAGTGAGTTGCTTTCATTCCACAACTAGGCTGCCAACAGTCAGATAAACTATAAACAGGCAGTGATATCTTTACTATGTGTCTCTCTGGGTGTCCTACTCTTTCAATGCAAGTTGCTTTGTAATTCATGTTTCTCAATGCAGTCAATGGCCGAGCTGTGTACACACATCTGATAAGGAAGTTTTTTTTTTCTGGCATCGGGGGTGTGGCTAAAGAGGAAGGCTTATAATGCAGCATTCTGCAAAACATTATTTTTGTGTGTGCAAAAATAATAAAGATTTGAGCATGCACAAAATAGAGCATATTAGTGTGGTCAAAACCAATCAAATGCATTAAAGTTGTATTTGTGCAAGGAGTGTCCCTTTAAGACAATGTTACTTGTAGATAAATGACAGTTCTACTTTAAGAAAAAACCTTGGCAAAAGACAGCGAGTCAGTTTTATTTATAAAAGCCAGTCTTTCAAATTGAAAAAAAAAGAATGTTAACATCATTAAGAGTTGGCCGTACGAGAGATCACTTGATCAACACTCAAAGGGTTAACGCAGCTTTCCATAGAATTAAGAAGATGTGTTTTTCAGGCAGCTCAGCTGATCAATCAATTAGATGATTAGTATTGACTAAAATATGTGGGAGTTGCGTTGGTAGGACATCTTAACTAGTTGTCAATGTGCTCTGATTACCACCACGGGACAAATTCCCGCTCATCAGTCTTGTCTGCTTGTCCACCTGTCAATAAAGCCACGATTTATATGAACGAGGATACTGGGAATAATATGGATTTATGGAAATAAAGGACAGGCACTCTGTAAGAAATAATTGGCCAACTAATATTCATGAAAAATATCAACAATCCTCTACTGGCCTCTCCATGAAACGAGTCTGTCTGCTGGTTACTTCAACGTAGAACTAAGTTAGTAAATATAACATTTACAAGCTTCATATATCTTGTATGCAATCAGCATCCATTAAACTGTTGCAGAAATGAATGCAAATTCATTCTGGTCTATTTCTTTATTTAGCCAAGTCTTCCACAAGCTATGAGGACAATTGGTCAATGAAAGTGTTTGCTACATATTGAGCAAGTGACAGCAAAACCTTGTGATCTCGCTATGTTGTCTAAAATATAATGGTCTTGCTATGCTGATTTGTAAAGGCCACAGGCTAACCAAGCTGCCATTCATTACTTGGGAGTGTCAGCTAACCACTTTCAGCCAATGAATGGCACACTGTGCAAAAATGTATGCCCAGAATTGACATTAACAGCTAGGAACTCTTGTTCTGGGTGACTAATGACGAATCTGTCACGTTACCGATGGTGGATTTACACATCCAGCAGCCAAGGAGTTATATTCTATATGGACTTTGTTTCTAAATGAAAAGTTGCACATTCAGACTCCAGGCACCATGACCACTTCAAATCACTGAAATGGTCATGCTACTTGGAGTAACCCTTTAAATATAGGGGAAAAGTCAACATAATATCACAAAACCTGAGATACTATACAATCCAGCATAGCGAGAAAAAATTGTAATCTGAAATGATTTCTGTTTACAAGTTACTGGTTAGTAAAGGTTCGTGTTCCTCCATGCATCAAATGGCTCTTTTGTAAAATTTGCTGCCCAGCCCAATAAAAAGTGTTACTGCACTAAAGTACAAAGTAGACTTTTGCAAGTTTTTGTTTGTTTCTTAGTTTGGTCTTGAGAGCTAGACTTCCAGAAAAGATTTAGAAATCCATTAAAAACGTTGAATTCAGAAAAACAATTAAGTCAAGCGAAACTTGTGTTTAATCGATGTCTTTTTTTTATGTAAAAGGATTTTATTTCTGATTAAAAGAGTTGCAATGTTATCATACGGACCGAAAAAGGATTGTCAGAGAGGATCCTGGATAAAAATGAAGGGGACCAAGAACATGTGAATGATGAGCACCCAAATACAGTTCCCTTTAATGTACGGTCAGAAGGGCAATGATATCATCAATAAGTTTACAATTCTTCGAGGGACATTGTTCATGGCAACAATGTCCCGAGTCTCTTCTTAGAATATGTTAAATGTGACATTTTAGATGAGATGTTTAGGGAAAAAACCCAATATGAATAAAATACCAATATTTGTAAAATTAAGTCAGCTCACTTTAAAAACAATAGTGGTATATCCTTATAGTGTGCTGTCCATTACACTCTTTCAAAAATTCCACTGATAGATATATTTTCTGTTAAATGTGACTGACCACTATTGCAATTGAACATAACACTAATGTTTTTAAAGTGAATTGATTCCATCTATTATTGTTTTATAAGATCTAATATATACTCAAATTTATATGCATTGTTCCTAATTTGGAACTTATTAAACATTACTCTATCTTTAATGTAATAATTTTAATTTTCCTAATTGTCGATATCTTATATCCTTTAATATAGTTATACAACCATCTACCCCTGATAACATTTGCATGTGTCTCAGGCTCTGTATTTAGAATAAGCATATGTTGCTTAATCATTACATACATAAGTGACTGGTTTATGTTATTGTTCCCCTTGCTGTCAAATCTGTAGGGATATGAGGTCCCAGTTCTTGAGGATAATTTTACAGCTGCCTTAAGTTAGCAATTTGACTTTAGGGACCCCACACTCTCTTAAAGAGGTAGGCCAAACCTCAAATGATAGTTGAAAAACTGAGAATAGTTCAGGCACTCAAGGTTCAAATCATCAGATTAATACAGCAGTGTTTCGACCCTGATAGGGTCTTTGGCAAGCTTGACAAAGACCTTTTTAGGGTTGAAACGTTGCTGCTGTACACTCAGCCAATAAAATTGATTTGAACCTTAAGTGACTAAACCATCATCAGCTTTTCAACTATCATTTGTTATTTGGCCTACCTCTGGTCCAGACTCCTTTTCAGCTACTGTATTATATGTTAAACATTTAAAGGACAACTGTCACCATAAAACAGTTTTCAGCATAATAATCCTTGAGTGTGATAGAATGAGGCAGGTTGATTGTGACATAGTTGGAGGAGGGAGTGTAACAGGGTGAAAGGAGGTATGTGTGACAGGATTCAGAGGTTAATGTGATAGGGCGAACGTGGCATAGTTGGAGGAGTGAGTGTGACAGGGCAAGGGCAGGTGAATGTGACAGGATTCTTTGATAGGGTGAGTATGGCATTCCAAGGGGAATGAGTGTGACAGGATTGGAGGGCTTAATGTAACAGGGTTATTGTGACAAGGGGAAGGGAGAAGAGTTTGACAGGGTTGGGAGGTGAATGTGACAGTGCGAGAAAAGGTGAGTGTGACAGGATTAGGGTGGTTCATGTGATAGGGTGAGTGTAGCAAAGCGAGAGGAGGTGAGTGTGGCATGATTGGAGGGAGTGAGTGTGACTGAGTCAGGATGAGTAAATATAAGTGTGAGAGGGCAACAGTATGCGTGTGGGGTGGTGACAGTGTCTAGAGGGGGGTGCCAGAGTGTGGAAGGGGGACACAGAGTGTGTAGGGGTGACAGTGTGTGGAGAGGAATGACAGTGTGCAGAGAGGGGAGACAGTGTGTGTGAAGGGGGTGATAGTGTGTGTGGTAGAGGGTGCCAGAGTGTCTGGTTGGGTGCCAGAGTGTGGAGGAATGAGAGTGCGGAGGAGTGAAATGTGCGTGGAGGGGGTGACAGTATGTGGTGTGTGTGTAGAAGGGGGTGACAGTATTGGGTGCGGAGGGGTGACAATGTGTGTGGAGGGAGTGACAATGTGTGGAGAGAAAACCCCCTTCAGTCACTTACCTGAATCCAGTGCTGGTGTCCCTCTGCGCTGGGTCAGGCTCCTCCTGCGCACTTGCATTATGCTTCCCCATAGGAAAACATTGTATCAATTCTCTGACAGACACACACTGGCTGATACACACTGACAGTCACACACACACACTCAATGACAAACACACAGACGTCACTGACTGCGCCCCAAAATGTACGTGAATGACACGCACACATTCACTGACTGACACACACTGGCAGAGGCACACTGACAGTCACACACACACACACACAGTTAATTTGTGTCTTTAAACCACCATTGAGATGAATGATGACTCACGGGGCTGTTCACTAAAGTGAGAATTGTCAGAATTTTCAAAATGAATTATAAATTTAAAGCCAAAGCAATCAAAGTGGAAAATTTCTCAGGTTTTTCAATGCTTCCTGTTTAGACAATTTGACCTTAAAAACCTTTATCATTATTTTATTAAATAATCATCCTAGCTAGCCATCTCATTTGTGATTTGAAGAAACAAACTGTCTTTTTTCACATCAGTTATTGTATCAAATTTGCCATAAAAGAGTGTAGAAAACCTAACCTTATAAAAAATTTGGTTTTTGAATTTTATAATTTCAAAAAATCTAAAAATATATCTTGGTTTTATAGAGACATAATAATTCCCACCTGATTTGTTGGTTTATTGTGTTACAAATGTGTTCAACCAAGCTATGGAAAAGCAATTAGAATGTTTATTTAACAGTATACCATTAAGTGGCATTTGGTGTTTCAGTCGTCTTCTTTGTAGGTGTTTTTTATCCCGAAACAGCAGAATAATTTCTTAATCCTTTGCATTATGGAGCACCGTTTAGGCTTGACAGTTGCTTGCTCTGCGTCAGTACGACTTGTATAAATGGGAATGGATGTAAAGATGACTGTCACCTCATCCACCTGCTGATCTCTCTCATCTGATGAATGTCCATTCATTGGATTATCCTGATCATATAAATCAAAAATATGGGATTCTTCCCCATTCATCAAATTATCTCGATCATATAAATCAGGAATATGTTGTTCTTCCCCATTCTTTGGATCATCTTGATCATATTTATCAGAAATATGTGATTCTTCCCCATTCATTGAATCATCTCGATCATATATATCAGTAATATGCGATCCTTCACCATTCATTATATCATCTTGATCATATATATTAGGAAAATGTGTTCCTTCCCCATTCATTGGATCATCTCGATCATATATATCAGGAAAATGCGATCCTTCCCCATTCACTGGATCATCTGGATCGTATATATCAGGAAAATGCGATCCTTCCCCATTCACTGGATCATCTGGATCGTATATATCAGGAAAATGTGTTCCTTCCCCATTCATTGAATCATCTCGATCATATATATCAGTAATAGGCGATCCTTCACCATTCATTATATCATCTTGATCATATATATTAGGAAAATGTGTTCCTTCCTCATTCATTGGATCATCTCGATCATATATCTCAGGAAAATGCGATCCTTCCCCATTCACTGGATCATCTCGATCGTATACATCAGGAAAATGCGATCCTTCCCCATTCACTGGATCATCTGGATCGTACATATTAGGAAAATGGGATGCTTCCAGATTAATTGAATCATCTCGATCGTATATATCAAGTAAATGTGAGCCTTCCCCATTCATTGGATCATCTCGATTGTATATAGCAGGTAAATGTGATGCTTCCCCATTCATTTGATCATCTCGATCATATATATCAGGTAAATGTGATCCTTCACTGTTCATTTGTTCATCTTGTTCGTATATATGAGGAATATGTGATCCTTCCCTATTCATTGGATCATCTCGATCATATACTTCTGGAAATCGATGTGATTCTTCCAGCATGGTAACTCGTCTGTGTAATGTCCAAATAATGCTTGTCAATTTGGCAAACTCTCCCTTCATCATTCTCACACGAATTTCAAGTATTATTCTTCTTTTCACCTGCTCTTCCTGCTCACTCGGGTCTACCCCAAAGCTTCTCATCATGTCAGGTATGTTAAACTCCTTCATCAAGGACACATCAAGATTAAGACTTAAGTGTATCAGTGAATAGAAGTGTAGGCCTCTAAAGACTAAAATGATGATCTTCCCAAGATGCAACACCTTAATATGACAGTTGGCAGTTGGGATGCATTCCATTGTGTGCTAGATTCTGTCATGGATACAACAGAACACTGGAGTGAACACACTTACATAAACTCACCTTGATATTTTGAATGGTTTCACTTTTCCATAAATCAATCAATACAGATTATCTTTTCACCATAACCGTTTAGCTCATCACTATCAGGGTTATTCCCCAAAGTGAATTTAACATTTAAGGCCAAATTGGATAAGCTTAAAAAATTATTTCAGTCAGCTATGCTTTCAGTTAATTTAAAATTAAAATTCACTTTGAATTCCCAAGTCTCACATTAGGGAATAAACATGAATGTCTATATACCCTAAATGGGTTCAGTATATCATTACAAAGAAATATTTAAATAGGTGGTTATTAAGGAATATTATAAAGTATAACCTGTGCATAAGGTTTACAATTTTCAAGCTCACTATTACTATAATCACACATTTATTTTACTTGTTTTACTCTTTATTTTAACTCTTACTATTTTTTTCATCTCAAAGTGGGTCTGGGCATAACGGCCCTGACGTTTTTCTTCTACAATGTAAAGCACTACTGTTTTGAAGATGCAGCAATGTTTTCATTGTAGTGTAAAACAGACCTGTAGTGGATATCTTCCTGACAGCCACTAGAGGGGGCTTTCACAGTTAGAACCGAGTCTGATAAAAATATTTGATACTCAGTGAATGACGCGCATGCACATTAACCACGCAGTGCTTCTCCATGAGAAACATATGATTGGACAAAATGGTCATCTAGCGTGACAATCTTGGCGGACGAGGACCGTTCTCCTCAGAAGAGTCTGCATCAGCACTTGATTGCATGTAAATTGCAAGTTTGTTGGAGGGTTTTTGCAATGAAAAATGTGGGGGCCTGCAATCTAACTAGCCCAACTGACACAGCCCAAAAAAGTGCACCCCCCTTAGATTATTCCTTTAATGGATGAATGTAAATCTGAAATTATTTCAGTTTATAAACGACTATTTATTGAAGATTGGCTGCCCAGCCCAATAAAAAGTATCTTGCCACTAAATTACAAAGTAGACTTTTGTGTGTTTTTGTTACTTTATTCTTAAGAGTTAGACTTCCAGAAAGGATTTACAAGTCCATTACACACATCGAATTCTGAAAAAAGACAGTTAAGTAAAGTAGAATTGGTGTTCAATGGATGATCGCTTTTGTTTTAGTGTAACTTCAATATACCCTGCCAAGTGTGAATCAACTTTCTACCAGGATTGATAAGATAGCTAGAGTACTGTATAATTTGACTGATGAGAGCAAATAGCTATTTCTGTATAAACCTGGCATCTGATATAACTCCAGGCCCGTTCTTGTTTACCTGTTAGGAAAGACTAACATTTTATTTTTATTTTTTTGTTAATCAGCATTTACTAAAGTTTTGCAGAGTAACCAAAATAATAATGATAACACAAATAAATAAATAATGTATGCAGATATATTCGTAGTTCTCAGTATTGAATGTTGGTTGTACAACATGAAGTACATAAAATGTTTGTTGCTTAATTAGACTGTGCAATGTATAATGTTGAGATTAAAGCTTGATGCATCCCAATATAATAAAAGTCAATATAACTTACTAGCGGTTACATCCCCCATGCAAGCCAGCAAACTGGTACCTTATTTATCTCTGCTAACATCAATGCCTTCTATTAAATCATTCCAGAAATAATATATTCTAAGCCTTTTCTCTCTGCTTTCTGACTATAAATATTGTATTCAGCCTTGGGTTTGTATTACAACTGGTAGATATTGTTGCAAAAAAAATTTAGTTGATGTTGTGTCTTTTGTTTGTTCTATGGCTGGCATTTGAGTCCTTGGTGGATTAGTTCATCCTATCTAGTCTCAGTACCAGGGGCTGTTGATTACAATGATATATTATATAGTTATATTCCTAGTCATATACACTATGATTTTTTTTGTGTGATTTTAATTCAATTAAGAAAGAATATTACTTTGTGTTCGGCAGCTTGTCAATTGTTAATTTTACAATCTAGTTTTCTATATGCCCGAATGGAGTTAATACATAATATACCCTTTCACTGGGTAATGGAAATCTCATAGACGCACAACACGCATGATTGATTATCCAGTAGCCATGGCTCCTAGTGACTGGTGAATAATTGATAACCTTCTTTAATTTTTTTCCCTTTAGTCAATAAATATTGATTTTGTACAGCACGTCAATAAAAGTTATTGGTAAGTAATATTGGCAAAATTTTATCTGTTCAGACTGCTGCCGCCTTTTTCCTCCCCAGCAGCCCGCTATCTGCTCATGCTATTCCACTTCTTGCAAAAACATTCACATTCCAGTCTACCATTTTTTATTCCAAATTCCATACTCTAGTATACAACTCCTGCAAGCTTGTGCCTCCGACGTCTTCTTACTCATCTCTCAATACACCCCTACTATACTTTTACAACCTCAATAAACTTGTTCTCCCTTGTAATTCCTGTGTGTTGATGTCTTCAGTGACTATCTATTATCCGACTACATTCCTGACCCAAATGGACCTCATTACTAGCCCAATCCAGTCCAGTTATTCAGAACTCATTATTTTCTCATCTTCTCTCCTCATTTCCAGTATGCCTATCAACCAGTCCACTACCTGTCCTGTACCTGTCTTCTGCTTGTCCTGTACCTGTCTTCTACTTGTCCTACACCCATCTTCTACTTGTCCTGTACCTGTCTTCTACTTGTCCTGTACCCATTTTCTACTTATCCTGTACCTGTCTTATACTTGTCCTGTATCCATCTTCTACTTGTCCTGTACCCATCTTCTACTTGCCCTGTACCTGTCTTCTACTTGTCCTGTACCCATCTTTTCTTGTCCTGTATCTGTCTTCTACTTGTCCTTAATGTGTTCTTCCCTTGATTGACAATATGGACCCTCTGTGATTGCATTTGATTAAAATGTCGTAATGTGCTCATTGATGACTGCATTATCAGTAATCTATGTAAAGCAATCTGGAAAACAAATACTGTTCATTATTCTGTATTCATATAACAACATTTGAGCAAACAAAAATAACAGTATGGAATAATAAAAAGCTCCTTGAAGCAGCCATTTCTAATTCTGCAATACAGTTTAAATAATGTTTTACGACAATGTTCATATATTTCAGAATTACATTATGTCCTGTGCTACGTCTGAAGCTGTATTGTCTTTCTTTATAAGTGGCCATTTTATGTCAGACATGACCACTTGCCTAATGGACTTTTTAAAATACTAAAAATAGACTGATGTCTGCACGCTATGCAACATTTTCTTTTAATCTACCATAAGGTATGTCGCTTAACATGATGAACTGGGCTGGATGTTGAAGGGAGGGTGATAATGTCAAATAATACATGCTTTTCCATTAAGTTAGAAATCAACAGTAAACCACAGGATAACTTTAAAGTATTTTCTGTTACATTGTATTCCCTTGATTTTTCATGCACTACCCTTGAGGAGCCTAGCCTGCTTCTTAGAATCCTTTGAAACCGAGTCCCATAATGCATGTACACATTTTCTAAGCCTGCTAGGGGTGGAACAGCCCCCTTGGTAGCAATGCACAGCTCATTCCATTCATTATACATCAGGAATGTTTTGTGTTTTTTTTTTTCATTAAAAAAAATAAGAATATTTATTGAAAACTCAATCATCATCAAGATTATTTTCTAAAACAGGTTAAAAATTAGCTCATCTATTTTTTTTTTTTTTATACATTACCAACAGAACACATTCTAAAAGATCTTCCAAAATAAAACAAACACATTTTTATTGAGAGATAAACATAGTTTCCCAAATAAATGGTAATCCTTATATTTGACAATATAGCAAACTATTGTAAATTTAGCAGGTAAGGACTTAAGAGGGGCCAGACTAGACAATTGCATAGCATGCATGCATATAACCCACATACCTTGTGTATAAAATTTGTTAGTGATGGACACACTGTTATTTAGCAGTTTTACATTGTCTTGTTCTTGTTTCTTGTACTCTGACTTGGCCACGAGTACTGTGTGGTCTGCAAAGCTGTCACCGTGTCTCTCCATTCTAAGGACTGCATTTTCATTTACAGTCTGGAGAGCGACGCTGGCAGTTGTCTTAAAGTATCTGTTGTATGATGTGATTGATAACTATTTCTACCCTTCGGAAATAATAAATAGAACTATGAGCTTTCGCTGTTTGATCAAACTTTCTTTTCTTCGATATTTTCTACTCCCAAATTTTTCATATAAGCAGCTTTCAGTTATTTTAGCAGTAGAAGACCAAACCCACAGCTCAATGTATATTATTTAGCAACGCATGCACATGAATCATTTGTAAATCACACTACAGAACAGTTGGATTAGAGCCCAATTGGAAATATGTCTTTGGCTCCTAAAAGAGTTCTTTTTCTGGCACCTAAATTGTGGAGACAATAAATGGAGAGGTGAATCGGAACATGAAGAGAAAAAGCTATATCGCAATAAACCAAATTCTTACAATAGTAAAATCAACTTCTAAAAATCTACCTTTGAATGTCTTTTGTCTTTTGTTTATTGCAGATTATTTGCAGTGACCCCTGCTCAGACAAAACCATGAAATAGCTCATCCTCCAATACAAAGCCAGCCTATTGGAAAGCTAAAGCAGCTGTGTGCAGCAAGTGTTTGGGGGATGTGCAAAGAGCATTTATATCCCAGCTGATCACCCCCAGTTTGCCAGCAGTACACTAAAAAAGAGGGTAAGGAATGAGAAGCACTTGTTTGAGTGTGTGTAGGGGGAGAGTGACTTC